TGATAAGAAGACAGGCGGCAGAAGCCATCCACGGCTGACTCTGAAATGCGGTGGCTCAAGAAAGGCCGACGACCCTGACGACGCAAAACCTGTCCTACTATAGCATCTCGGACTCTGAAATGCGGTGCCTTTTGATGTTTTGCTGCCGAACGGGCCCTCCTCATCTCAGCCTCCCTCACCGCTTTTGTGCCGATGTCAAAAGGCACAAAGCAGCAAGAGGACATGCCCACGGATCGGATAGTCCGGTCTTCTGGTGCTCGCGCCACCCGTATCCGTCCCAAACTCCCAACTACCTCAATACAAATGGACTGCTGCTGGCTGGCGCTTTGCTGGTAGCCCTGTACCACACCGCCAAAGTTCCGTTCCGGGCTTCCACCGCTCGACCCTTTCCGCTTCTGCACTTCCGCTAGCTCGGCCGTTCTGTGCCTACCCAACCAAGCCCGGATGTTGTCGTCGTCGTCTCGCTCCAGAGTCCAGACCGCGCCATGTTGGCGTCCAATCCAGCGGTTCGTTTTAACGAGGTCAAAAGGGCCGTTTTGTGGCCTTGTTCAGCCTGGCCCAAGCGCCAGTGCTTCTTCTGTGGAAGGGTAAACTACGGGCCTTCATCAACTGCGACCACTATTTTGCTTCCACTAGCCCATCAACGAACTAACCAAGCAAGATCTCTGTATTGAATAAACAGGGCCAAATCTGCGTCTGCTACAACAGCTTCTACATCAGTCAAACTGGCTGCAAATCATCGACACCTCGGCAGGATCACCAGGAAAACCTTCTGAGGGGCGGGCATCTACCACTACGAAAGAAAATTTCGGAGATGCCCGTTGGCAGGTTTATGCAGTCATTGGAATGAGTCTGAAGAAATGCTCGAGCTGAGCTGCTGGATAACATGATCTCTATCCTCCGATTATGTTCCCGCCCGAGGGATCTTGTCGCTGGCATGTCTACAGAAAGTCTCTCTTGATCACATAATATAATCAAATTCCACTTGTTCATCATTATTTATATCGAGTCTGAAGTCTTAACATTACCACAGTTGAATAGACATTATCAGACTTGTGCGACTTGTGCAGTGGAGCAAAGAAAGGTGACCGATGGTAACAGGCCACAAAAAGCGCACACCCATGCTACAGTGTTTTTCTCTCACAGCAAAACAGCCGCGCACCGGTTTATCAGCCGCAAAAACCATCAGTTGAGACAGCCAAGATTGGCTGCAACCTTATGCAGTTCAGTCAGATTCCTATTGCCTACTAGTATCAAACAGCCATGCAGGGAGAAGCACTTCCCCAAGGCCCAAGCCACATCAAACCACTGTGCAAGAGTCATATCTCAAACAACCATGCAGGGAGAAGCACTGAGCAAAAGGGTGAATGGAATTTCCATGTATCATGACAGTTTTTTTATTGTAAGATGAATTAACAGTGTGATAAGTCATGACATAAAGATCATTCTTCCTGTTCAGTAGTCTTACTTAACTAAATGTAAGGATACAACAGACTTACAGAGCATGTATCATAAGAACCAAAGTCAAAGCAGCTCTGAAAATTAGACCAATGCAAGATCCTCAGAAAAATATCTAGATGGCATTTGATGAACATGTGAAATACCTCTTTCTTCACAGGCTCTTCCTTCTCTGACAGGATCAGCTCAATGTGGCAAGGTGAGGACATGTACGCTGCAAATTAGCAAAACCAACAGTGTATCAAGAATGAAAGACCATCTTTCAATATGTACAGATTGATGCGTCCGTGAGCACGGTAGGTCCAGCGCCTCTGCTTCTGGGCTTGGTTCACCTGGATGTGTGAAACATAGAGGTTGTCCACATCCAAGCCTTTTTTTTTTTTTTTGCAACAGTTTCATCGAGCTTACAGACCGGGCATCACTTCATCAGTCTGGGCACACACTCAGGTTTCAGACAAGAGCAATGGCAATGGCAGCAGAAATGTACTCCTACATTAACGCTAACCACTTCTGTAGTTTCAAATACAAAGACATGACGTAGCAAATAAAGGAACCATATCACAAATTTTATATATATATATATATTACTATGTATGTAATGTATTTATACATCTAGATATATAGTAAAAGCTAAGTATAAATAATTTATAAATTAGAATGATGGTTTTTATTCGAATGAAGGAGCACTTGAAACGTGTATTCTTTTAAACTCACGGGATTAGAGATTTATATACCCTCTCTCTCTTTTTCTTTGGGCCATGATAGCGCCCGGATGTCCGGTACCTACGTGCTGTTGCGCCTGACCGCAATGCTTCACGCCCGTGCCTGCTGCTGCTAGGTCCCCGTGTGCTGCTGCTGCGCCTACTCGCGTGCAGCTGGGTGGGTCCCCGTGCCTGCTGCTACTGCTGAGTCCGCGCATGTTGCTGCTGCACTTGCACATGAGAGCATGTGCGTGAGGGCCCACCCTGCATGCATGAGAGAGTGTGTGGAAGCACAGAGCGTGTACCCGTGTTGACCCGACTGCATGTTCCACTGTGGGGGACCAAGCCTGGTGTGCAAGGGCGCTCTGGTTCTACACACGTTGGGTGTTGGCCTGCTCTGGCGCTCTGCATGCGCGCATGCACTTTGACCAAGGAGTGCTTGGCCATTTGGGCACTGACCGCTCCGTTGCGTGCACGTCCGACTATTGGAGCTGACCCACATGACAGAGATATGCAAATGTTGGATGGGTGAGCGTGCAGTGCGTGCGTGCCCACGAGTCAAAGCACATGGGGAGCCACACCTGCTACAAACATACTGAAACATGTGAAACAATTGAAACATGCGTTTGCAACATATGTGTATAGCCACTGCAACATATAACAACATCTACATAAAACACTTGCAACATATACGTCTGAAATAGGTGAAACATTTAAAATATATACTTACAACATACGTGTATAGCCACTACAACATATATGTAACATCCAGATGAAAATATGCAACATCTAGATAAAAACAGTTGAAACATTTGGAAAATACACTTTGCAACATATGTGTATAGGCACATCAATATATGCAACATCCAGATGAAACACTTGTAACATATGTTTGAAACAGCTAAAACATTTGAAACATATACTTGCAACACACGTGTATAGCCATTGCAACATATACAACAACAGATCTACCTTTACAACATCCATGTTAAACATATGCAACATACATCTAAAACGCATGAAACATATGGTTGCAACACATGCTCATCTGCTTGCTATCGCCCAATGAAGGTTGATGCGGGCGCGGGGGAGCACAGAGCACAAGACACGGGCAGCGCACTACGCAGGCGCGGATGATGTGAGGCATCGGGCGGGTGTGCGCTGCACGAGGTGCGAGGCACGGGGTGCACGCGACGCGAGGCGGGTCCAATACGACCATGCGAGGCGCGAGGTGGGAGGTGCAAGGGCGCGTGGCGTGAGGCGGGTTTGGTGCCACCGTGCGCGACGTGCAGGGGCGCACGATGCGAGGCAGGAGGCGAAGGGGCGTGAGGCGAGTTTGGTGCAACCGTGCGAGACATGAGGCAAGGGCGCGCGACACAAGGCACATCCGTCCTGTCTGAACGGACGGACGTAGGAACATTACTATTTTATTTTTTAAAGCGTATACCTTCTCTTGTGTGTCTGTATCCAAGACAGCAGGGCCGTTCCGTCCATTTCTGCTGTAGTTTTGAGTCCAAATTCAGGGCCCATTGCAAAAGCTAGATCAAAACCCACGTTCCATGCATGCAGAAACATCGAGGAAGGAACCTTTTTTAGTGGGGAAAAATCCATATTATCTCTCTCAACTTTTGCAAAAGTCTTTTTTTCTTCTTTAACTCTAAAACCAACTTTTGCAAAAGTCTTCTTTTTCTTCTTTAACTCTAAAACTGGGTAAACCACCTCCCTGAACTTTTAAAACCGTTCGTTTTACCCTCCTGATCAGTTATAAGCGGTTTTCAAAGGCGGTTTTGCCTTTTTTTTTTTTATTTATTTTGATTGAATATTTAAAAAAACATAGTAAATCATAGAAAAATCATAAAATAGAAAATCTAATTTTGTTAGACTTCACATGAGTAGATCTGCAAAGTAAATATATAATATGGTATGCTTTAGTATAATTTTTTGCTATAGCTTTTGATATATGTTTTTCTATAATTAATTTATAGCTATAGTTTTTATGGTTCAATTATGGTGAAATTTTTATGATAAATTTATTATTGTATATTTGAACCGTAGTAAAAATTTGCACTCACTGGATCGTGCATAACTTAGGCCTAGTTTAGTTCCTAAAATTAAAAGCTAAACTATCGCAAAATGCGGCACATGCACAGAGTATTAAATATGGCCAAAAAAACTAATTACAGTTTGGTTGGAAATTGCAATCGATGTTTTAAGACTAATTAGTCCATGATTAGCATAAGGAAAGGCAAATAAACATGCACTAATGATAGATTAATTAGGCTTAATAAATTGCGTCTCGTTGTGTGGTGGCGAGCTATGTAATTAGTTTTTTATTAATATCCGGACCCTTTTAAGGTCGGGGAAAGAAGAATATAATAGGGGGCGGATTTTCACCGGGAGAGGGAGGAACAGGCAGGCCTCACGCCTTGTTTAGATGCCATCCAAGGCCAAGTTTTTTCGTCTCTCTCCATCACATCATTTTTAGCCGCTTGCATGGAGTATTAGATGAAGATAAAAAAAGATATTTTACTTTTTTGTTGGAAATCATGAGAAAAATTTGTGTAGCTCACTCATTTGGATGACGTGACCCAAATAAGGTGAACTATTTTGGGTCAATTTTTTTGTTGAAATAGCCTTCATAGAAATGTTGGGTCGGGCGGGGCCGGGGGGCCCAGGTCAGGGAGCGCCCGCGGGCCTCGCGCTCGCCACCGACTCACACACACACACACACTAAAAAAAAATCAAACAAAGCAGGAGACCCACTTCCACCCCTTTCGTTTCGCGGAGCAGAGCGAGCAGCGGACCTCCAGGGAGAGCGCGGTCCCGCGGAGGCCAGCGAAGATGCCCGGGCTCACGGCGCCGTCCGACTACGCGGAGGAGCCGCCGCGTCACCCGGCCCTCAAGATCAACTCCAAGGTCAGAGCTACGCTCCCCTCTCCTCGAGTCCCACCCCCTTGTAGATTTGAGACTTTGAGTGATTGTGTGGGTGCCTTGTGGTGTCGCCAATCGCGCGGATTCGTTCGCGCCTTCGCGGCTCTGGCTTGGCCCGGGCGCTCGGCCCGGTCCAGGCCGGCTGGATGCGTGCGAGGGCTTCTACGGCGCCGGCGCGTTGGCCGATCGGGCCGCCGCCGACCCGCCGTTGGTGCTGTGCAGCAGCGGGTAGCGCTCCGCTGCCCGCATGCGTCAGGCGTGCACGTGCACGTGCTGTTACTGCGCAATGATTAGCGAAGCATGGTGATTAGTGAGCAGTGAGCAGGGGTTTTTTCTAGTCTCTGTCGTGTGAAAATAGGCCCCAGTTTGTATGACTTTCCGGCCGCAGTCGGCGGCACAAGGATGTTGTAGTTCTCTGTAGGCTGCTAGAATGAGGCGGTGTATCGGGCTATCGGTTGCGAATGTCTAGGTTGTCAAGAGCTTTGCCTGAATGAGTTTTTATTTTAGTAGGAATTATTCCTGAACTATCCAGTAAGATACAAAAATGGGAGTAATCTGGGTGCATCATGCTGTTTGCAGGAGCCATTCAATGCTGAGCCTCAGCGATCGGCACTAGTAGCATCTTACATCACCCCAGTGGATTTCTTCTACAAGAGGAATCATGGACCCATCCCTAAGGTCGAGGACCTCTCAAGGTTTCTTAGCACAAACTGTGAATTTCCTTTTATCGTTGTGATCTGTTACAGTTTACCAAACACTGACACTTAATATGAATGGATCGACAGATATACTATTTCCATTTCTGGTCTCGTCAACAAGTCTATTCAGCTATCCATGGCTGACATTTGGTAATGTATAATGTTTTTTCTTTCTAGCATCTAATAATGTGACATGAATGGTCTTTGCTCTTCAGTAAAGAATTGACATAGAACTTTGCACTCAGGGCTCTTCCAAAGTACAATGTCACAGCAACTTTACAGGTTTCATATATATGCTTGCCCAACTAATCGTTCTGTGATGCCTATATGTTAGTATGGCTAATACTAATAACCTAAGCGTATAGCAATATGATCGTGACATTTGCAGTGTGCAGGAAACAGGAGGACTGCGATGAGTAAGGTACGAAAAGTGAGAGGTGTTGGGTGGGACATATCTGCTCTTGGAAATGGTAAGCAATGAGTTCAGAACTTAAGTGGTGCCTTTCATTTCGAGGTTGTAGAAATGGAACCCATTGTGGTATGCTCGTCAATCTTCAAGTGGTAGTAGCACCTGTGAAATCTTATGAGTTCTAGACTAGAAATAAGCCCTTGCTGGTTACTCTGTGAGTATCAGATTAGCAGTTTGGATGAACCTCATGAGCTCTCATATGAACTAATTAATAACATATGAGCTAGGTATAATGATCATATCAAATGGAAGGGATTTACTAGAATTGCTTTTGTTTTACTATCCCTAGAACTGTATCTTTCACTTCCCTTCCAGACTCCTGATTTATAGTCTGGAACAGACAACCTTTCTTTTTTCACCTTCCATTTTTTCCCTACTGATGAATGACAGTATCATACAGAAAATACTGAAATATTTTGTCTTCTGATTGCCCTCATCAAAATTTGCTTGTAGATACTAGCACTTGCATTTGCTTGTTGACGAAAATGATTCTAGTAGTAGATCTACTGAGTTTTTATGATTCCAGCAACTTGGGGAGGTGCCAAACTATCTGATGTCCTTGAGCTAGTTGGAATACCAGAACTCACTTCAGTCACATCTCTAGGAGGGAAGCATGTTGAGTTTGTTAGCGTTGACAAGTGTAAAGTGAGTGTAATGATCCTTATTGACTAGCAGATGCTTATGGCAAAGCCACCCTGCTAACCTTGTATGTTGTTTGTGTCAGGAGGAAAAAGGCGGTCCTTATATGGCATCTATTCCATTAAAGCAGGCAACAGATCCTGATGCTGATGTATTACTTGCGTATGAAATGAATGGAGAGGTGGAAAAACATTAACCTTTCTTTGCATATTCGAATTCAGTTTTACAGTCTCGATATGATGTTTAAGTTAACTCTTCAAGATGTAATTTGTTCTTAATGGCTTTGTGCATTCCGCTACTTGTTTGTCTTCTCAATTTTCATTTTATCTGGATGTTTTTTTTCAATTTACTTGTTATAAACTACAATGTGTAGGTACTCAATCGTGACCATGGATACCCACTCCGTGTTGTTGTACCTGGCGTTATTGGTGCACGCTCTGTAAAATGGTTGGACAGTATCAACATAAAAGAGGAGGAATGCCAGTTTTTTTTTTTGAAAATATGAGTGCAATGCCTTCTCGTCTTTAATTGTCTAGGTTCAAAACTGACTGCTATTCTCAATCAGGGTTTTTTTATGCAAAAAGATTACAAAATGTTTCCACCAACTGTGGATTGGGACAATATTAATTGGTCAACTAGAAGGCCACAAATGGATTTCCCTGTACAGGTATACTGCATCATTGATTCTTCATTGCTGATGTGTGCTGCTAGTCTCAAGAACTTATGTTCACTTACTTTGATCATGTAGTCTGCTATCTGTACACTGGATGATGTAGATGTTATCAAGGAAGGGAAGGTCAGTATGTTTTCATAGCAATGCATACTCTGAGACTGAATCCTGTGTAAGTATTATGGGCAAACTTTATATAAGATCTTCACACACCGCTATGCTTGCTCGCTGCAGGCTAGGATTGCTGGATATGCACTTTCAGGTGGTGGCCGTGGCATTGAGAGAGTGGATATATCTGTTGATGGGGGTAAAACATGGGTTGAGGCTCGTAGATATCAGAAAGACAATGTGGCATATGTATCAGATGGACCTCAAACTGATAAGTGGGCTTGGGTTCTCTTTGAGGCTACATTAGACATACCAGCAAATGCTGAGATTGTTGCTAAGGCGGTAAGTGAAATCCATCTTAACCCACTGTTTCACCCAACTTAAAACAGTTTATGAGAAATGCACCTTGTGAACTACAGGTGGACTCAGCTGCAAATGTTCAACCTGAAAAGGTAGAAGACATATGGAATCTGAGAGGAATCCTCAACACATCTTGGCATCGGATCAAAATACAGAACTCTTCATGCGTAGGAAGATCTAAGCTGTGAAATTAAGTACGCTGCTGACCACTTGGAGCAACCATGGTGGTGATCCTTGCGAGTCTTTTTTTTTTTTTGATAGAATCCTTGCGAGTCTTAATATTGTACCAAAATAATAAGTCATTTCAACTTTCTGTGTTTCTCGAGTTAGGCTGTACCACAAATGTTGGAGCGGTGTTCTATGGGATTTGAGCTCACTTGATTTCTATGTAATGTCACTGGATAACTGCTGTTATTGGTTGGTCTGGTATCAAGAAATTACCATTACATTCTGCGTTGAAAATTACTATTGCAGCATAGAACAGTTCTTTGGGCAAATGGCAACTTCAAGAAGAGAGGTGCATTTCTATCACAGCTAAGAAATACTAATAATAGATAAAAAGATGTAACATATATATAATTCCTTCCTAGCCGTGGAAATGGAAGAATCAATTTCAGTACGCAATGATATAGTTATGATACAGTTAGAGGTAACCAGCTTAGCACGTTGGTGGCTGGTGATCAGTTGGCCAAAGCATTGACACCCTCAATGGGCAATGCGTTGAAAAAGTATTTTTCTCAAAACACATCTGGAAATTAGAAAACAATATACAAAGAGGAACTTTTTCCTCACGCAAACCAAATCAACGGACATTCTTCCTTTACTCCATCAGCCCCTTAGCACAAAAGGAGCTGTCGTGGCCGAAGGTATCAATGATCAGTGATCTAGATCGAAGGGAAACAACAAAGCATTGATATGCCTAATTACTGACAAAGCAATGGATTATGATCAGTGATTTAGATTGATCCTTGGTTCTGTGAACAGGGCAGTGGTTTGTTGTGTGCCTGAAAAAAAATACTGTTCCGGCTGGAAATTTACGATCGTTTACGACAAACCAAAGCCAAGGGCTGTATACTACTGATGTTGCTAAATGCCGTCACATGCTAACTTCTTAGGTGCTCCCAGCAACCTCATCGTGACCGGTGTTACTGCCCTGCAAAAACAATGGGAAAAGCATCTGGAAATTAGAACCAGGCTAATACTACTAGTACAATACAACTACAAAAGAGGAACTGCATAAGCAGGAAAAATGCATCTGCCGAGGAACCCGTGTACAGCAAACACAAATACTTGCATCAATTGCCGTTTGGTCCTTGGTTGAGAACAAGTCCTTCAACATTTTGTCCAAAGAATCCTTAGCTAATGGAGACTTCTTCACTTCTTTCTGTACTGATGATTCTACAGAATCCTCAACAGGCGCGGCACCGTTTTGAAGCTGCAGCAATAACAGCAGTTTAGCCTGATCAGATATCTCATCCTAGAGCACTACACATCTCCATTGCCATTCACTAGTTCAGGTAAAATGGTAAATAATTGAAATGATAACCAACATCTAGCTTCAAGTTCAGCAAGATTGACATCCACGAAAGAGTACCACACCTCTGCATTAGCAGCACCTGGATGCTCTGATGTGTCTCCATTTTGGTTCAACTGACATTCTGCAGAGCTGTAATGCCGCGCGGGTTCCTACGGAGCAGCTCGACGCGTGAGAAACATCAGAAAACGACGGAGACAATGACGAGAACATGTTGCCTGAGCTGAGCATCAAATCGCCGTGTCAGCACCTCACCCAGTCACCCTCACCTGATCCTTGGCGGCATCCTGTTGCCACTCCGGCTGGAACTTCTGCAGCAGCAAGGTGAGCAGCTTCTGAAGCTCGGGGGGCACCTCCTCGGGGAAGAGCTTGGGGATGTCGTCCTTGGCGACGTTCTCGTTGACGCACCGCCTGATCAGTATCCTCAGGCACACCAGCAGCTGCAGCAGGGAGATGCCGAGGAAGCAGAGTTGGGAACTGAACGGTCTGAACCTGCACTGCAACGCCCGCGACGCGAGCGATGGCGCAGGAAGGAAGCAAGAAAGACAAAGGGCGGGGGACAGGGGGTGCTTACGGGGTCGAGCTCGGCGTCGGAGGAGAGCTGGAGAGCGTCGCGGGCGACGGTGCGGTCGGCGGCGTCGAGGCCGGTGCCGCGCGTGCGCCAGAGTGCCTGCAGGATGTACTCGATCGACTCCTTGGACCCCGCGCGCGCTAGCAGTGGGAGGTGCACGTGCCCCCACAGCGCCGCCGACGCGCTGCGCGTCTCCCGCTCCATCTCCGGGGTTCTGTTCTGCCCTACCGGCTACCGCCGCCGACGGGGACGCGCGGTGGACCGGTGGTGGACTGCTGGAAGGTGGAGAGGGGTCGGTTCGGTTCTGGTGGGCAGGAAGAAACAGCCCAAAAGATGAGCAAGTCACAGGAGACGGTGACTGCTTTACTTGTTGAAGCCCACGTAAGTTAATGGGCTTTACGAAGGCTCGACCAACAAAATCATTCAGTGCTCCGCTTAGACTATCTCCGCCAACCCAAACCTACAATATAAGACACATTCTAAGAATTGGGTCACGACAGTCACTGGGCCACCAACCTAAAATTTCCTTTCTCCAATAGCGAACCCAAAATTTCGTCTACAGGAACAAAATATCTACCGGCTCTCTCCCTCCCTCTCCCTCTCCACATGCGCTCTCTCCAGGCTCTTTCCCTCTCCCTCTCTCCACCTCCCAGATCCGGCGAGGAGGCCGGTTGCCCGCCACCACCAGCACCTCTCTGTCCGCGCACCACCACCAGCTCCTCTCCATCTCCCGGTGCCCAGATCCGACGAGGAGGGTCGTTGCGCCATGGATTTCGGCCTTCGGATTCGGGCCAGTTGGTGGAGGCGCCCTCCTCCTCCTCCAGGCGCCTCTTTCTCTCCTCCCATCGCCATGGCGCCCTCGCCACGCCCGGCGGTCGGTGCTGCCAAGCCTCGGTGTCCGATTGGCTATATATTCATGACGGGCCTCCACGGTGCCCGCCCAAGATTAGAAAGCTTTATTATTTACATTCATCTAGTTGAGCTGTTGAGAGCCCCTTCCTCGGCCCGTGGCTAGAATTGTTGGATAGGTTAGCTTGTAGGCGCAAGTTTGCAGCTATTTGTCATACTAATCAAATTGCGGCTGATTTGGCGGCCTCAGGCATATTAGCGCCATGCCATGTCCTTGCTAACAACCTCGGTGTCATCTCGTCACCATGGGGGCCCACCACGACTATGGCGAGAAAAGAGATTTTTGCGTCGTCTCTCCTCTACGACGCTTATTTGCCTTCCGCGTCGCCTCCTACCCAAAATGAGTGTTGTGTTTGCGTACTCGGTTGGAGGCTGTTTTTTGCCACTTATCCACGGTGCACGACACATTTTTGGGGATGGGTTGCGTTATTGGAGACAGTCTTAGAGAAGGTTGGCTGCCTACCTGCCTGAACTAAGTAACTAACGATTTTTTTTAAAATAATAATATTTTTTAATGATTAATTTTAAATCAAGAAGCTGTTATACAAAAAATTGACATATAGCAGCCTGTTGGCCGCTCAACGGCCGATTGGACACCTATCGGCCTCTCACTAGCCGATAGGCCTACGTGGCACACTACGTGGTAGCCGACACCCGCCAAAAATAGTGGGAGCCGACACCCGCCAAAATAGCCTGTTGTCACCGACAGGGACCATGTCGGCATCTGGAGGGCCGATAGGGCTAGTCGGCCCGTGGGAGGCCGACAGGTAAGTCGGCATTTGGTGCGCCGACAAGGAAGTTGGCAGCCCAGTTCTCGATACAACTATAGGGCACCACGCAGCCGACAACTCTATTTCATGTTGTATTCCTTCTTTTCTAGACACAACCATCACCCGATGTGATACTTTTTGACGAACACAACCATTGTAACACCCATGGTGTTACGAGCCCGTTTAACACCACGATTTAGGCCTAAGTAAAAATTTCCAAATGAGTTTATCGGGTTTTTGATTTAAAACATACTTGAGGCGATAATCGAATTCTGTGTGACTTAGTTTCATGGACTCAAATAAACGCTCAAGTTAAACCACGCCGTGCGTAAAGATATTTAGGAATGTCGAACGACAATTCTAGCCAATAGATAGCAAACGCTTTGTTCTATTAGATTAAGTATGAAAAACAATGTTTATAAACAAAAATTGTTAAAAGTAAAATTTGCTTTAGTTGCGCTTGTACATGCATAAAGTTGCTTTAGAAAAATGAATTTTTGAAGTTAAAATAATATAAAATATAAACAGGAGAAATCATATCATCAGCAAGATATGAACATCGTGAATACGTTGGTATTCTTGTTCGAGTCGTCCTGTCTATTGCGCTAGTGTGACGACGGTAATACGTCTCCCTGCTCTGAATCAGTCATTTAATTTATTATGTCGCGTCGTGTTGTCCTTGCCGGCCACGTCGTGCCAGACCGCCCTGCCCCACGCCGCGTTTATGAGGTTGGTGGCGTACCACACGGGGTCGCGCTTGTGTGGTGTCTCCTTGTCCCTGCTGGCCTCTTGCTTTTCTTTCCTTGCTTCCCTGCAAGATCAGAGAGGTAATCGGACGGGACGAGACGGGACGAAGGAAGATCAAGTTAGGTGGTGTTGCCTCGCTATTTCCCTTGGGCATGATATGACATGCACTAAGCGCCAAAATGCACCGAGCACCGCACCTAGAGCAGGTACATCTCTCAGAACTCACGCTGTCACTTGAGTGTCGCGTCCATGTCACAACAAAATATATGTACCATCTCATTCTAAAAAATATTTAAGTTCAATTTCTCTAAAAAGCAGTTTTATGCCTTTGCCTCCGTCCAAGCTGGCTGTGTTCACAATTTGCTTTGTCGTGTCTGGCTTGCTTGCATGTCCTCAGAGAGAACACGTGGTCCGCTATACGCCTCATCAATTTCGCCGACGTGACCTTACCGAGCACACCAGACCACTCCGTGCCACTGCTGCTGCCTACCTTGCTTCTTGAGGACGGCGAGTTGCTGCTCTCGCACTGCTTTTTCTTTGCCTCCGGCCGACCACGCTCATCCGTGCCGCAACACCGCTCCTCCCTTCTTGCAGCAGGCATGTTCTTCCTTGCTCACCTGGCCTGCCTCTGCACTCGCAGCGCACCTGAGCCACCGT